TATGGTCTGCAAGAGGAAGGAAAAAGGAGAATAACCTTCCCAGGCACCACTCCAGACTCGGTGTCATGAGGTGGGCCTCTCCCCTCAGCTGTGGGTGAAGTCCTACGACTATGGCAAAGAGGGCAAAGGATAACCTTGGCATGCTGGCTTTGGCCAATCTCCTTTGATAATGTCTGAATCTGCTAATAAAGCTACCCTGTTTGGATCCAGTTGTCTCTGGCCACCGTGTTATTAACTGTTGATTCTTTTGAGGACAAAGTAATATTTACTGCAGGATAACAGAGTGCCCTGCTCTGGTCATGCCTGGCGTGTTAGGGGAAGCACAGGGTGATACACATCAGCTTGGAGCTCATGAATGTCGTGGCCTCAGACACCCTGACTCTGAGCAACAAGATATCCAAGATGAAGAATGGTTCATTTTGTGACCAACTCTCCTAGAAGGACTTCCACGGCCCATGCTGCTGCCAGAGGCCGTATTGGTGTCCATGGTCCATGCTGTCGCTGTTGCTGTCTTGGCCGTGTTGATGTCCATGGTGTCTGTGTTGCAATTGGAAGCCAGTCTGAGCCCCCGCCAGAGACCACGCTGATGTTTGTGAGCTGTGCGGCCACCGCAGGCTGTGTTGACGATGTCCGTGGTCCATGTGGCTGCTGGAGGCCATATTAATGTCCATGCTCTGTGCTTCCTTGGGGACCAGGTTGAGGTCCATGTTCCTAGCTGCCCCTGCCTGCTATGGGCAAGGAAGCTTCTTTTGCTGTGTATTTGTCACTGCAGACTCATAAAACTGAGAATGAAAGGCACCGAATGTTTCTGTAACAACCTTCCCTGCCCCCCCCCCCAATAAACAGTCCAGACAGGAAGCTATTGAAGAGAGCTCTTAAAAACTGTGATAAAGATGCTGAGGTGTAACTCTTCACAGCTGATGGCCTCTGGCAGGGGCTGGGGTCTCAGTTTTCTTTAAGGGGTTGATCACTAGGAGTTTGACCATGTGCATAGGCAACAGAAGTTGGACTTAGTGGTTTGGTTGGTTGGTTTTGGTTTTACAAGATAGGGTTTCTCTGTGTATCCCTGCTTGTCCTGGAACTAATTCTGTAGACTAGGCTGGCCTTGAACTCAGAGACCCCCTGTGTTGTTGTTATTGTTTTAATGATTTATTTATTCTTATTTTATTTGCATTGATATTTTGCTTGCATGTGTGTCTCTGTGAGGGCATCAGATTTTGGAGTTTCAGACAGCTGTGCGCTGCCATGTGGATGCTCATGGCACTTAATCTCGGCACTCAGGGAGGCAGAGGCAGGAGGATTGCTGTGAGTTAGAGGCCAGCCTGGTCTATAAAGTGAGTCCAAGACTCTACCGCCAAGGCTAAACAGAGAAACCCTATCTCAAAAAACAAACAAAAGGAACAAAACAAAACAAAAAGGAATGTAAATTCCAACCATTTGATTTTATCAATAAGGACTCAGGCACCAGATGCTGAGTGAAAGCCTGCTAACTCAGAGAGGCGGAGGAAGCACCTAGCTGACCTTCCTATTCAGCTGACATCCCAGAAAGAAAAAGCTGATTCTACTCTGTTCATATCCCAGAGGGAAAAAGCTCTTTCTATTCAGCCCACACCCCAAAAGGAAAAAGCCCCTTCTCCAGCCTGTCTTAAAGACCCTTAACTCAACGCCCTTCTTTTCTGCTTACTCCCTGTCAGCTAGTTACTTGTTTTGCCTTTTGACATAGGGTTAACTTTATTAAATCCTGGGGTGGAGAGATGGCTCAGAGGTGAGAGATGGCTCAAAGGTTAACACTGGCTGTTCTTCCAAAAGTCCTGAGTTCAATTCCCAGCAACCAAGTGGTGGCTCAAGACCATCTGGGGTGAGATCTGGTGCCGTCTTCGGGTGCTGGGGCACATACGCAGGCAGAACGCTGCATAAATAATAAATAAATAAAATTAAAAAAAATTATTAAGCCCTGTGCACAGAAAGCTCTTGGATTAAAGGTGTGTGTTAGGGCTGAACCTAACACATGGATGAATATCCTGCAACACCCTGCCTCGGCCTCTTAAATGCTGAGATTAAAGGTGTGTGCCACCACTGCCCAGCTTGTTGGTTGTTTTTGTTGTTGCCTGTTCGTTCGTTTGTGTTCTGGGGAGAAGGCCCAGGGTGGGAGGGCTGTGTTGGCAGGAATGGGAAGAGAGTGTGGTAAGGTACACTGTACAAAATTCCTGAATAATTAATACAAATGTTATATGGGACGGGGGTGGGGGAAGGTATGCAACACTACTAAATACATACATACATACATACATACATACATACATACATACATACATA